ACGCTACTTCACCCGACCTGCCGCTCTGTCGTGTGTTCCTTGTGTGGTTCACCTTTGGCTTAATTGGTACTTATTTTTCTGAAGCGTGCGAAAATGCTTCTATGTCGTTGATCCTGGGGTGACCATATTGCAGTGTTGCCTACACACCACCATTGCCTGCTATGGTGTCAAGCACTGGCGCTATGTTACTACGCGGTGTCGATTATCAGTGCGGCTTTACTACATATGGTTGAATTTGTATTGTAGACGATACATTCGCCCTAAAACACCTGTGAAGAGGGCGAATAAGGATGGAGACAGATTATTTTGCAAAGTAGTAGAGAACAGCTGTGTTTCGTTTCGTTGATCTTCCGCCCGGATGCGCTGCAATGTCCGGATATAGCAAATAGTTTTACTTTGTGACAAATACTCAGGTAGGCAAAACTCAGGTGGTAGACGGCTTTTGGCGCTCTCTTGATCACAACGCTGACCGCGTTGCACGAGGGGGAAATGCTGAGTAGCTTGATGCATCACGGAAGGAAAAGCTTGCTCAGACTATCGCCCTCCTCTGGTATAGCGCACCAGACAAGGACGGTAGCCTGACCAGTTATTCCATCTGTGATAATAACATCTCGTCTCAATTGTTCCGTAAAGTTATAGCATTGATGTTGCTAGCCCTGCTGGACAATGGCAATGCCCTCCTGGCAATGGCTGGCAAGGCGCTGGTAACGGAGCAATGCTAAAATTTTAAACCTCCGTAATTTCCAGTCGTGTCCACTATGCCTTTCCAGTCAGCGCACGTATTGTCGGTGACACACTCGATATACGGCAATGTGTACTCCAGCGCAACTGAACGCACGATGAAGCGTTCAACTCGCACTGAGCGCCGCTCCGTATAAACTGCTCGGTCCTTCCTTCTCCTGGTTCGGCCACCATTGCGCTCGAGCTTTTCTAGAGATGTTCTCAAGCTGTTCTAAATTATTAGTCTTCTATCTCCGGAGTAGCTCCGTTCGCTGCCAGGTCGGGAGTCCACCTCAGTTACGTGTGCGCCTGTGTCGGGCTACCCTGCTCCGCTGCTGCTCGGCGGCCTCCCACGGCACACGTCCTCGTCGCTGCTCCAGGTGCAACAGGCGCATGAAACGAGCCTGCCGGGCGGCCGTCAAGTCGCAGTTCTTCTACTGGCTCATCATTCTGCTGGTGTTTCTGAACACGGGTGTGCTGGCCACCGAACACTACCGTCAGCCAGCTTGGCTGGACAAGTTCCAGGGTAAGTGGCGCCACGGGGCAGCCCTGGTCCGCACCGGAGCCGTGCCGTCCTACTCATCGTCCTGTCAGATGTCTCACCTGGCATCGGTTGGATGCACAAACCTTTTGGTGCACTCATGCTGCTAAAGGCGACATTAGAGTACTGTTCTTCAGCTTATGGGACATTTTCTTCTCCCATGTATGGCGTCTGCTTCTGGCTGGCCAGCCATGTCTGATATGGGTTGAGTGAATATCGTGAAACTGAGTCCACTGTCAGTAGCCGCTTTCATTGAAAACTTCCGATTTGAGTAGCTTGTTTTGATCGCTAGGTGCCGCCGAATCCATCGGATTGTTTGATTTCAGAAATAACCAACTTGTTCTTCATCGTTCTCTTCACCATTGAGATGATCATCAAAATGTACGCACTTGGATTTCAAGTAAGTAGTAAGCGTGCAGCCATGTCTCGCTCGATAGTTTCATAATTACCATGATCGCTATGGTTTCGTGAGTGCTTTTCATTGTTGGGTTATGCAGCCGGCACAACGAGTGACTGTTGGGGGCTGCTTTTTCACGTTCACTCGAACATTTTCTGTCTTTTCCATTTGTAGTAGATGATTTGGATGGCATTCCCTTCCACGGATTTGCACAATTCAAGAATGCGTGAAAATCGAGAGAGGTGTTTGGGAAGAGCGGGGCTACATAGCTGTCACAAAGTTGGGAAATAAAACAGAGATACAAGCCCCATGTAATACTCTAAAGTTTTGACCTCAGCGGTCCGCTGCATCAGTTTGTCCCGGCGCGCGGCGGCGCGCGTCACCTGCCAGGGTGCGCAATATATGTTCAGAAGCAATTCCAGGACTTATTATGCCGTATGAAAACCACTCATGATTACCTGAATGAAGTGCGTGGACAAGATAATAGAAAATAATTCAACCCGTCTCGGTATCACCGCCACCTCAATAAATATCTGGTGTGGATGTAACAAGCTTGCTAAGCCGGTGTCTGACCTCCCTCTACAGAATTACTTTGTATCGCTGTTCAACCGGTTCGACTGTTTCGTGGTGATCAGCAGCATCATGGAGGTGTTGCTCACCGAAGACGGGTGTGATGCCTCCGTTGGGCGTGTCCGTTCTGCGATGCGTCCGCCTCCTGCGCGTGTTCAAGGTCACCAGGTGAGCGTCGGCCGGTCGTGCGGTGCAGCATGAGAGCCAGGCGGCGGCTGCGGCCGGCGGCCCCCCTGGCTCAGTGTTGTCGCCAGGCAGTGTCACACTGCGACGCGGGCTCCAGGAGTGGTCGGGCGGCCACTCTGGCACGTGCACTCTGTGGGACCGAGTTTCAAGCCTCTTGGATAGGCAATTGATCGCTGCCGGATCATTTCATGCTGCCGGTTGTTTCTAACGTCAGACGGCTGTTCGGACTCATTTCTTACACTACTATAAAGACGGCCATTAAATCACATTTCGCAGTCTTCAATTGGTTGAAGCGCTTCTGCGACAGCATTAATACTAGTTCGGGGCCAAGCGCACTCTATAAAGCGGGTATCGTCTGTTCAATTGTTGCGATGAAGCAATGTTGTACATTTGTGTGGAATACTGATATAGCCTCATTTTTACTGTCATGTGTTGTCATATATCGGGTTTAGCTAGGATGTATGTATGATAGCGACACAGCGTCTGCATAAAGCGTGTTCGTCTGCGTAGGATCTCTTGCAATGTGATAAACATTAACCCTACTATCCAAACCCTCTGTAAATGTAGCTTATTAGCCAAATAGCGCAATAGTAGGGGCTGGTTGTGTTGTAGCTCCAGAAGTGTGCCTGATGTTAAACCAGCATGATCTGTGCCGATGTACCTGACGTGAAATTTTCCTTTTGTTTCTCTGCTATTTATACTGGGTCAATCTCGGTTTGGTATTTTATTTAGTTGGCTCTTTCCATCTGGGGATTGCCGGCGCGCCGACCTACTGATACTGGTGTGCGTGTGCGCCTACGTGTAAGACCCGTTTGTTTTTGCGCCCTTCTTTTGCAGATATTGGAGAAACATGGGTAACCTGATCCGGGCCCTGGTAAACTCCATCCAGTCGATCGTCTCCCTGCTTTTTCTCCTCTTCCTCTTCATATTCATCTTCTCCCTGCTCGGGATGCAGATCTTTGGTGGACGCCTGCAGGGTCTCAGGAGTAACTTCAACTCATTTTGGCAGTCGATTTTGACGGTATTCCAGGTACACACCAGCTCTTTCGCGTCATGCATAGTCACTCACACCCAGTTCTGCATCATCGACATGCGTTGTGCACCAGGCTGTGGGGCCGCCCGGCCGGCCGCCACCAACCAATCACTGACCACTGGCCCAGCACATGTGACCTCACTCAGTTGGATGACGTCATACGTCACCCCTGCCATGGTCGGCTTGGCGGCTCCAGACCTCTGCCGTGCTGTGCGTTTCTCTTTTTCTCTCTTTCTCTTTCTCTATCTTCTTCTGCAAAGCCAGCGGGACGCTGTTCTCCGCCCGCTGCCCGAGCGCTGCCCAGGCGTTTTCTTCACGGTCTCATTCGGTCGGCGCCTCTCGTGTGGTGCGCGATGCCGCCCGCGCACCTCCATTCGCGCTCCTGTCTTCCTCGTCCCCGTGCTCTTTCCTGGGATCCCGCCACGTCGTCTGCATCCTCTCGGGTCAGCCACTGGGCAATCAATCCTCGTGTTCCGAGCACCGGCGGCCCCATCCTCGGGATTTATTTGATCGCCCAGTCCATGTATGTAACCACTCTGTCGTTGGCGCTGCCTTCTGGACTGCTTGCATGCCGTCTGTTTCTGCGCCCGGCCGCGTGCAGTCGTGCGATCTCTCCGGACTGCCGGGCGCTGTTGCTGTGTCCGGCCCGAAACCAGCCGCTGGCCTGGGATGAGGTGGTCCGTCCGTGCCGGCGCGCTGTGTTGACCTGCTGCCGTTCGGCCACTACGCATGCCGTTTGGCCTGTTCGATGGCCGCCCGTCCTCGCTCCCACATCTGGCCCAGTCTACGGTGGAGGCGGAGCCAGTAGCTGCTAGAAAGCAGCAGAGCACGATTTGTGAATACCTTCGCTATGATAAAGAGCCCCATGCGTATAGCGTCCGGGCTGCCTGCTGGATGCGCGATTTCCCCACGCAACAGCCTTGTTTGCATGGCCCCAGCTGTGCCTCCGCCCGGCGACCGCGCGCCGCAGCCTCTAACATGGTGACTAACGGCGCAGCCAGCGGCGGCGGCGGCGGCGGCGGCGGCGGCCTCTGCTGACCTGACGCCCTGTCTGTCCCGTGTTTCAGGTACTGGAGGTCCCTCTCCAACCTGGTTGCCTCGCTCCTCAACTCCATCCAGTCTATCGCCTCCCTGTTGCTGCTCCTCTTCCTCTTTATCGTCATCTTTGCACTCCTTGGGATGCAGGTTTTCGGTGGCAAGTTTAATTTTGACTCCACGGCGGCAAAGCCTCGCAGCAACTTCGATTCCTTTGTACAGAGTTTGTTAACCGTATTCCAGGTAATGAGATGTAGTAGAGCGCTACGTAGATCCGGGACGGCCACACTCTCGGGCACGGCTCCTACTTGCTGCTGTGTGTGGTGCAGCGTTCCGCTAATCTGGCCTGAAACAGAGGCGTGGTGGGACATGGACGCAATACCAATGTGGATGCTTTTCGTTGGTTAGGTGGTTGCCGTGCACTTCTGGGTGGGGAGCCAGCTTTTACGCAGAGAATCTGTCGTTGCTTTGTATCATCCGAACGACTGCCGGCTTGTTACGACTGAGACTGATTCTTAAAATGGCCATCCTTTCTTCTTCAAAGGACAAATAGCCATGTCTTGTGCATGAAGTGCATTAATGCTAAAACAAAGCTTCAAGCTACAGCTAATGACAAGCAAGCCAAGTCAGAGCACAGCTCATGACAAGCATGCCGAAGCCCTGAGACTCAGCCACGGGGTAAAAATGTGGAGGCAATGCCCATCACGGGCTGTGCTTACGATCATGATCAGCCATGTGAGATCAGATCGGACCCGGCCAGCGTGCGTCAGGCCGAGGGAGGCCGGCGGACGCGGTCGGCTGCTGGCCGCTGACGCCAGTAGCGTGCCCTGGGGTGGGCCTGTCCCGGATGCGCGGTGTTAGTCCCAGCAGTCACCGTCCCCAGCCGTCACCTAACCACCAGCGCATGGCCTCTGTCCTCCTCTCACCCGATCGCATGATGCTCGCCCGGTGTGGTCTGCTGCTGGTCGTGTTTGTGTGCGTGGCTGTCCGGCCGACGGGGTAGGTTGGCGCGAGCGGGACGGTCCCGGCTCGGTCTCCTATCTTGTTGTCTCTAGTCCCGCTTACATCGCAAATGGGGGATTTCCGGCGACGGGACCTGTGGCTTGGAGCATACCAGGGCAAGCGTTTGGCGGAATCGGAATCTGCGGTCCACGCGTCCTCCATTCCTTACTGTGCCTCTCCACCACGGTTTAAGGCATGACGCCACGATAAGGAAGACAATTCGGAGTAAGTTTGGCGCTCTTGATTCATTTGCCGTTAGCATTGCTGCTTTGCGTCAGCGATCTCCTGTCGCACTGACCCACGCTGTCAACGGACTCCTGCCATGTTGACCTAAGCCGACCCGACCCGACGACGGATTCCTGCCGTGGTGACCCATGCCGTCAACGGACTGCTGTGGTGACCCACACCGCCCTGACCTGACATGGACTCCCGCCGTGGTGACCCAAACCGGCCTGATCCGACCTGTCGCCGGGTTTTTGCAAACCATTTTTTACAGACGGCAGAATCGTGCTCAGCTGTGCGGTTCGGGAGGCTCGCAGCATCGGGTCCTCCTTAGAATTCGTGCGGTGAAATCCTTGGAGTTATCCCACGGCAGTCCCATGAGATTCCTTTGCACCATTCCACGGCAGTTTCACGAGTTTCCTCGGCACGAGTTTCCACGGCACGAGTGTCCACGGCAGTTCCATGTCATTCCTTGGCACCATCCCACGCAGTTCGATGAGATTCTTTGGCATCATTCCACGGCAGTCCCATGTGATTCCTCGGCGTTATTACAGGACAATCCTGTGATTCCTCGGCATCATTCCACGGCAGTCCCATGAGATTCCTTCGCACCATTCCACGGCAGTTCCGTGAGTTTCCTCGGCACCATTCCCTGGCAGTTCCATAAGATTCCTTGGCACCATCCCACGCAGTTCGATGAGATTCTCCGGCATCATTCCACGGCAGTCCCATGTGAATCCTCGGCGTTATTCCACGACAGTCCTATGCGATTCCTCGGCATCATTCCACGGCAGTCCCATGTGACTCCTCGACATCGTTCCACGAAAGTCCCATGAGATTCCTCGGCGTTATTCCACGGCAGTCCCATGAGACCACGCCAGCTTACTTCGCTTGCCAACTGACGCCAGACGCTGAGCCCCAGGCCACGGCTGGAGCCTGTTGGCGATGTAAGCGGGACTTCGGTGGAGGGCGTGCTACCGTTCCGTGCCGGTCGAGGGGGAGGGGTCGGCAGGCGCCCCCCCCCCCCCTCCCCCCGCTCAGCGCCGCCGGTACTCACACGCGTGCCAGCTCAGCCCTGCATGTTGTGATCTGTGTGCGGGACACGGGCGGCGTTGGTGCTGGCTGCTTATACTCGGACACGATGCGACGCGCCGGACCTGTCGGCAGTCATTCCAGCGACTCTCATTGTACTTCAGGCTGCACCTGACCAGTGCTAGTAAAGGTCATCTTCTCTGTCGTGCGTGTTGAAATGAACAGATGCTTGTTGCAATGAACATGTGGCGTGAAATTGAAATGCAATTTGATCACAGAGTCCGCGAACCTGGTTCTAAGGGCACGTATACCTCGAGGTTATTTCTTCCTGATAACACTAAATGGAGGTAAATTCATCAAGGGAAGGTTGACCACAGGCAGAGCAACTGGTACAGGTGCACTTATCGGCGTCAGCTGCTGGACCGGTGCCTCAGCAAGAAATGACAGCAACAGCCACGTGCCTGGTACCCAAGACCAGCCTTCACTTGTGGTGTACGTGGTGCCGGTGGTGCACTTCTAGGAACCGATTCCTGGCCCGGCTTCCGGAACAAGGAAGTACCCGGAAATCAGGTTGCAACCAGGCATATAATCCAGCCGGAGCCACGATCCAACACTAAATTACGTCGAGGTAACCGGCGAAAAGCATAATCTAGTCGAGCACTAAGGTATTGAGACTGCAGGAGCCAAGACTTAACTAGAAATATGCGCGGGAATTGAGAAAGAACGTAGGTCCAGGCTAGAATGTTGGTGAGATATCCGCCAATAGCAGATCTAGCGTGAAGGTGGACTGAAATATGGGAAATACAGTAAATAGACGTCGGCTCTGGGCGCCCAGATTATCAAATGAAAATCCACTCCATCCTTGTAAGGATTGATTGAGCCCATAGATTCTGATAACAGCAGCCAATAGAGATATGCGACAACAGTGCGCAACTTTCTCATGGTATCAAAACATCAGCGTACCGATGGCCGAATAAGAACGTCGATGGTGCGTGTAAATCAGATGAGATGATGAAGCTATTGATTTTGCAATATAATGTAACATAAAGGTTCAAATACGAAGTCAATGCACAGTTTGCTCCACGTCACCGAAAAATTGCCGGCCGTTTTCGGGTTTTAAGGCACCAAAACAATTACTAATGCATGAACTAGCATCCATCAAAATGTCCTGACCTCTTAAGGTCACCTTTCAAAGTCAAACAGCTCAGGCTCAAATAACAGAAAGCTCAATATCACCAAAAAAATTTACCGGCCGATTTCGGATTTTTAGATTCCAGAATAATCACTCGTGCACGCAATTGGCGCTAGTGATTATACTGACACTCATAAATCCAAACCGACCGGTACTTTTTTCTTGTTGGTGATGTCGAGTTTACCGTCGCTGAGCCTGGATTTGATCTTGAAATGTGACCCTGAGTTTTCACCACTTTTTGTATGGTATGGTATGACATGGTGCTACCGAGCGGACGATGAGTTTTAGTTACCTACTTGCAAATATGTATACTGCAGTCACATCTTTTGCGGTAAAGCGACCGGATAACGTGTTTTTTCCTTTGCTGGCCGTTGCATCTCCCTCTTTTAATATCGGACACAAATTGGCTGAATATGTATTTTGCTCCCAACAAAATGAGCTACCGTTGATATTATTTTGATGACTAGCACTAAGGAAGGCCTTCATTTACCTACTCACGTTCAGCATGTACCCCGTTCCCACCCAGGCACTACGCAGCTCCTTTCACAATCGTTGTTAAATGGTTGCAATTCGACATGGTTTGTTGTTTTTTTGCGAGTGTGATGCAGCCCGGTAAAGTATTGTCGTCCTTCGAGTATGCTTTCCTGGAGGATTAAAACACATTACGGATGTCTAGGATAGCCCTAGCCTGGTTGAAGGACCATTTCGAATGGCGTATCATCAGGCGAGAAACGGACAACCTATAACCGGCTATTCTCCACATCTGACCACTCTACATTTGTATTTATTGGGTGGTTAAAATCCCGAGTCTACAGGAAGAGCCTCCAGAGCCTCGGTGACCTGAAGAGTGTCTTTGGCCAGGTGGCGTGCAAACTCCCATATTACGCAAGAGCAAGGGTCATGGTTAAGTGGCGAGGCATCTCTTTCTGCTACCAAAGGGTCCACCTAGGGCACTGGCTATATAGATAACACCGCATGAAATATGCCTGACACAAAAATCAATACTCCAATGAATCCTTTGCAACCATATACTCGTAAGTTTGACTTTTCAATGATGCGTTTTGGGAAATTGAAAGCAAGATATAGTCTCCTTTTCATCCTGTATTTCAGCGGAAGATTCATCATGGCACACACCTAATTGCATGTGTACTATTTACTCCGATAGATATCTAATACCGACGTGAACTAACTCGCAAACAGTTAAGACTTCTGGTAGCTCCGAATGAATGAGGAAGCGAATTGGGTGCCTTAACCGAGCGTTTTGTGCGTGACTCAGTGTAAATCTGGAATTAGGCTCGCGTGTTTGCGAAGTACCAATGGTAACCAACACTAGAGTACGGTGTTTCCAAAGGATCGATTTGCACCAGAAGCAAGGGTATGTTTTTCACGAGAAAACAAAAACTTGAACAGTTAGCAAGATCGTAAAACAGCCAAGTGATAAGGGTGCATGAGTGATCAATATTCGCGAGAGAGACAGCGAAGTTCAGAACAAGGGTCTGACGTTTGAAAAAGAAACGGCCATATTCAAAAACCAGGAGGTAAGGTGTACAATATAACAGATGAAAACCATGATTTGTGGTCTCACGAGAAAGGTAGCTGAAACCGGGAGCAAGTCTTCGAATCAAGCTCGTAGTTGGTCGGGTACTTGCCGCTACCAGAACATGACGGCCCACGTTCCGTGCATTGAAAGCTGTTACCAGTACTAGTACCAGTGAAACATAAATGGCTCCAACTTAACGCCCCAACTGAAGTTTTTTTGAAAAATCCTGCGTCCCTTATTGAAATTATCGGCTGTTTTTCCCATTTTAGCTATATATGCTTAATTGTTATGGCTGCAAAGTGAGATGAAATTCAGGGCCACCATTGGAAAAATTTAATGGAAGATGCATCGTAAGTTAATGACAATTTCACGCCACATTGTCAGTGACGATTAATGTGTTTTCACTTCGGAATGTTTTACATTCCAATAACCTTTTATCAGGTCATCTTTGCGTGTCTTTCCTCGACAGTACCTTAGCCGTTCGCCAATATACATACACATTCCGACACATCACACATATTGCCTGGGGTATGACGTCATACAGTGAGTGTCTTTTGAACGATGATGGCAGATACTGACGGGTGAAGACTGGAACCTGGTCATGTACCACGGTATCCAGGCGTACGGCGGCGTGGGCGGCTTCGGCGCGCTGGCTTGCGTCTACTTCATCATCCTCTTCATCTGCGGCAACTGTACCTTTTAATGCTGCGGTTGGGGTGACAGGGTGACTATAGATCACGTCTGAGTGCTGTGCATGGGATCTTTGGAAGCGTTGTGAGTCTATGAGAGTTTGACCCTCGGCCTGGCTTTGCCGTTTTTCATGATGCGAACTGATAGGGGGGAGGGGGCGACGGTATACGCCCGCTCAGGCCGCATATCGTCGTTCAGTAGCACTAAAAAGACCACCGTTGTTCCGAAACCAGAATAGCTATGGACACGTTTTTGTCTTAAAATGCGCACATTGGATGCCCCATGGACTAGTGCGCGATATCACAACAACCGGGCAGGTATCTTCAGAAAACCTCAGGGTGGTTCGCGTCGTCCCCCCCCCCCCCCCCGCCTCCCCGCGTCCATCAGGGCAAGAGTTCAGGAAAATGGACCAAGGATGACTGGCGCCCAACGTCGCTACGTAGGACAGGACTATGCAATTTATTTCTCTAGCATTTTGTGCAAAACTGTACCATCTATTTGGCACATTCATTTTGTGTTTTCCTTGACCAATGCATGTCCAGACATCTTGCTTAATGTGTTCCTGGCTATCGCCGTGGATAACTTGGCGGATGCTGAGTCGCTGACAGCTATAGAGAAGGAGGAAGAGGAAGGAGAGGTGAGCATCGCCAATAATATGACTAGTCGAACATAACTTATAGAGATTATAGTTGTTCATAAAGGTGTTTTAGCTTTAAAGAAAGCGACGGGAGAAATGATTTTTTTTTTGTCCTGGCCGGTGATATTTCGAGGAGCGGTGTGCGCTTAATGAGTCCCGGCGGTCAGGTAACTAAGGGCATGCTAAGATCTTACCGTCTACCATCGTTCGTGAGCAGTAGCTCATGCATTTTGGTCGGTTGGGACAGTTATGTCCGTAAGCTCGTAGATTCATTACTTGCTGAACTCATAGCTTCATTAACTACAATATCGGACACAACCCATCGGGACTCATTAAAGAGAATGTTTCCGCATTTTAAGATATTGGAATAAGCATCAGATATGTTGAAACAAGCTTATTTATAGCTATTGGCACAGTTTTATGCAAGAAAACTGCTTGACACCGCAACTTCTCTGTTTACTAAATATGTTCCTCGATACGTCATTGTTTAATTGCGTCATGGTACCTTGCACAACACTGATCGAAGACCATTTGTCTGCTGTTATTATCTGAAAATCGCTCTCACGACTGCCAGATAGGAACGGTTCGACCATAACATTTTTGCTCGGCCTTGGACGCCGCATGACTTGTGAAATGGCAAATTTTGAACGGCGTTATTATTTGCGGTCATGAATGCCAAGGTGACTTTGCCAAGGTGACTTTGCCAAGGTGACTTTGCCAAGGTGACTTTGAAATACCCTCCCCGGAATACCCTTTCCATTTTCGAGGGCGTGTAGCTCAGAAACTAGAAGGGTTTGCGTCTTAAGGACAGTGTTGCGAACCGCACACAAAGGTCTTCGAGATGGCGATTCCAGTTCAAAACCCCATATAAATGTGAAACACTACCTCTAAGTTATAACCGCACGAAGTTTGGTTATAACTTGTGATGTGTGTTGTGATATAACTGTGTGATGAATGTCGGCGCGGACTCCTGCAGCTATTGCCAATGCCATAACGTACTCGGCTCGCACCGTGGCGCTTGTGCATCCGTGGATGGCGTCCTGACGCTGACCCGCCCCGTGCGTGCCCGCCGGCCGACTTGTGGCTGACCGGCGCCGCTCGTGGCAGATGGGTCGGTCGTCGCGCTCCCGCAGCGCCTCACCTCGGAAGGAGGGCGACGGCGCGGAGGACGCGGCCGAGCTGCAGCGCTCGCCGCACGGCTCCCAGAGACTGCTGGAGCTCAACCACATCGGGTGAGCCGCCGCATCGGGCAGGTCCATGAGTGGGCGAAACGGCCGGACAGAGCAGGTCTGCCTGTCGCAGAGAACGACTGGACCGGGCAGGTCTGGAGTGTAGGGGGAGGAGCGGGACCAGGAAGATCTGTGTGTATGGGGGATCGGCGAGACCGGTGGTGATTTGGGTTTTAAGGGCGCGTCGGCATCGGGGCCATTTTGCGCCCAGATCGGCGAGACCGAACAGGTCTGTGTGTATGGGGGTGACCAGACCGGACGGGTCTGTGTGTATGGGGGAGAGGCCGGACTAGACGCGTCTGTGTGTATATGTACAAGCATGACGCTCACGGGTCGCTGTCTTCTGGGAAAGGTTGGGTCTGTGTGTGAGAGGAACTCACCAGGTGAGGGAGGGGTCTTCCAGTCATAGGCTCCCGTCCGGCTTGGCATAGTAACCGCTAGCGAGCAGAAGTTGGAACACGTAGCTAGGTAGTGCATGCTACTTATATGTTTGCTGCGGTTTTTGGAAGAGCTAGGTATTCGCTGTGATGTAGCCTTTTCACGATGGTGACATGCGTGAGTGATGCGATCTCATAGCTTGCGTCACGTTAGTACTTGTTGCGGTTGGGATAATGGAACTTGAAATCACGTAACTTGATGACGTGAGATGGATGTCGGGCACCAAATGCCTTCGATTCACACGACATAACGCAATTTGAGTCAGTGGACTGCATAGAAGGACTGCATTCCGCGAGCCAAGTACTTTGAACCGATGGATTTTAACGAATAGCGTAAACAGGATGTTGTCTGTGAAGTGAACATGGCCTTAAGTGTGTCGAAGGGAAGGGAGGAGAGCCCACTCCGCTATGACGTCCATAGTGGAATTGCGGAGATCAAGGTAGATCCGAGGAGTTTGGGGCGTGGACAGTCCATGTGAAAACCCACCCGTGAAGTGGAGAGACAGCGGACGCTGAGACGGACTGACGTCTGGGCACGGCCACACCCGTGGCGGGCGTGTTTAGGGTGGGTCACCCCGCACTATCTGTGACTTAAGCCCGTTTCACACCGGCTTCATGACGGATACAGGCTAATGCGAAACACAGATCTCTACTTTATATCGATGATCAAAAGTATCCGAACGAAGTTAAATTCTGGCAGCTTCCAGGACTATCTGGCCGTCTTCGTAACAACTATTGCTGCCACCTTTTTTACTTTGGATAGCTCGTGCCCGCTCCTCACCCAGGTTTTGAAACCGTCCCGCTTTGAAGAACATTTTGGTTTTAGAAAAAGTGCGCACAGGCTGAGAGAACGGAGCCTTTGGCACCAGAGGAACCTCGGGTTTGCCCTTTGATATGTCCGCTCGCCGCACACAAAGGATAAGATGCTGCCATTTACCACATGAAGCTATTGTGCCCAGTGCGGTTTAAGGAGAAGATAGCTGATGAATGGCACAAAAGTAAGCTAAACACAACTTAAATCTGACAAGTAAGGGGGAAATTTAACGTCGCTAACCCCCGCCTCCACCTTTAAAAGCGGGGGGGGGGGGTGTACTCCCCCCCTCCCCCCAGCTACTACACCCATGAATGATGGCTAAAATAGTTCTAGCCGTGCCAAACGAAACTGAAGCGAACTAAGTAAGCCATGTACCCTACCATTAATCATGCTAAACCCTTAGCGATGGCATCGCCGAATGGAACGTCCAGACGTAAACTTGCGTTACTGTGAGCTCATTTTTAAAACTATTCTCTCCAGACTGCGACTCGGACAAGTATTGCAATGCTTCATTTGATGCCACGCTGTCCCATTTAGCTGTCAATCGGCTTAGACACAGAGAAGGCTATACTGCTGACAGGAAGGTGCGCAATCGGCTTATTTGATGCAACATAATGCACCTGGTTGGTTAAGTCCGACACTGTGTGTGGTCAACAACGTCCGTAGTTAATTCCATTCCATTCGTAGCTGTCTTACTGACTTCGCCCCAGGGGTGGAAACAGAGAGACACTGTTTAGAGTAAAACTATCTCAACCCTTAAAGATAGCGCTCAGGTTGTCACGGTGCAGAGAGTGATTGGACGTGGAAATAAGTCGGGTGACGTCACACTTTGGATGAACTGACAAAGCGGCCGCAAGGGCACTAACGAGTCGACACTGAAATGGCCTTAATATTTGGCGTCGCCGTCGCTGAGTGGAGGCATCTCCGTTTGCTACCATTGCCCGTTCTTTGCAATAGCTACGTATAATACGGCCACCATATTGATACTACACTCCTGCTCTTCAAGCAGATAACGAATGGATGGCAGTGCTCGTAAGTTGTAATGCCTCCCACACTAGACGATTACGAAAAACAGTTGCTTTTAAACTTTAATTTTGTGGTGTCCAGCTTAAATAGCTGTAAAATCAACTCACGTATTTTCTACGTTTCATTTGGTCGCAAATGACAGACAAAAAAACACAATAACTTGCATTTTTTAGAAAGAGCTCAGACGGTGGAGCGATCTACTCCACACACCTGTGACCACTTCCCCACTATCTTCGAATCCAAGCGTCACCACAAGGTGCAACTGACCTGACCTTTGACCTGGGTGCGGGTGCATCTGCAGGGTGGACATCACTGCCAGCCGGACCAGCGTGGCGCCGCACCTGCAGCAAGACCTGGTCCAGTCCAGCTACCAGACTTACCAGGAGGACGGTATGTGCCGAATGGAAATGACGCCAGATGATCTAGAACTGGTAGCGCCCTCTACCCCCCCCCCCCCCCCCTGCACCACCGCCACCGCCACTGCCCTCTCCCCAGACCCCACAGTCCACCTGTGGCGCGTCGTCCGCCCTTTTGATCAGCTTAGATTCAGTCTGTCTCGTGCGTGCCATCCGCGGACTGCCGGCAGCATGACCCCTGAGCGGTTTAGCGGTGCGGTTTCGCTCTGTCCCCGCGTGGTTTGGGTTCACGTGACGCCCCTGTGTAGCCTGGTTTCCGCTCGTCTCGGTAGCGGCTCGGCAGCCGGTGGCGCGTAGCGGCGACCCCATCTCACCGCTAGGCGACCGACTTGCAGGCGACAGGGAGGCGCCGGCTGGCTCGCAGTCGAGCGACAGCAGCTCCGGCATCGATCTGGATGACCTGCCGCCGACCATGCGGCCGCGGCGGCTCTCCGAGCTCTCGATCAAGCAGCGCATCAAGCCGCTACCCCCGTTCAGTAGTTTCTATGTGTTCTCGCCGACCAACAGGTGAGTGAGTGCCCGCTCGGTGTGGGGCTGACGCCGCCGCGTCGCTGCGTGGCTTTCAGATGACGAGGGTGCGCCGCTGGGGGCCAGGCCGCGTCGGCTTTCGGAGCTCATGGCGCCAACCAAGATCCAGCCCATCCCACCCTACACCTCCTTCTACGCGTTCGGTCCCAGCAACAGGTGATATCCGACGTCTAACTGCATCCCAGCGTCCCGTGCGGCGCGTTCGCAGCCGGTACGTCACAGGTCTGCCGACGTCGACCGGTTGTTGTCCTGGTCCGTCCTTGTCCTGGCTGAATTTCTGGCAGCTTCAGCGGGGTAGTCGCGTCGATTGGGTATTTGGATGCTGGTTTCGTCCGCCATGGAGTGAGTCTGATGACTTGGGACACTCGGCTTCTGGTGATCGTATGTGTCACCCTGTCTTCGTCAGCATTGTGTTTCCCCAGTGTTGCATCACACATTTATTGGCATAGTCCATTTTAGTGTATTTACACATTACATCTGCTCTTTTCGGCTGCATAATCCCATATTTCATGATTCGTTTATCTTATTTCATAGCGTGATCCATCAATCGCGTCCGCATTTACCTACAACTGCGTGGTTTTGTAGTTTGTCTTACATGCACCATGGTGTGGCATTCAGCTTGGGTAGTTTTCGTAATGTATGTCGGTTATTTGTCAAATAGTACACATGCGACAGTGCATGGGAGCATCCTATTCTTATTCATGTTAGCAGATCATGTTGTAGTTACCGAGCCAAACCCCAATAAAAACGGGATACCGCCACTTGATGTTTGATTGGCGGATGCGGTTGCGTTTAAGTAAAATTCTGGACTAGCGTTGGACGGTAGCCAGTCCTGGGCCTCTCGGTTCTCTGAGTTCAGGTTTATGAAAAACTCAGCTCAACTCAAATGTCATCTACAATTTATTTACACATTCCTGCGATGAAGTTGCAGAAAACACGTAGCAAGGTTCGCGTAATGCCCCCCCCCCCCCCACGCCCAACGCGAAGCGCCCAGCGCCCTACGCCCCACGCTCCCCACATTCACGATCCACATACACGCCTCCCACACACACACGCCCCATGCCTCACGCCTCACCCCCCTCGCCCCACGCTCCCCACATTCACGATCCACATACACGCCTCCCACACACGTCCCACACGCAAACGCCCCATGCCTCACGCCTCACGCCCCTCGCCCCACGCTCCTCACACACACGATCCACATACACGCCTCCCACACACATCCCACACACACACACGCCCCATGCCTCACGCCTAACGCCCCACGGCCCACTCTCATCACATCCACGATCCACATACACGCCTCCCACACACGTCCCACACACAAACGCCCCATGCCTCACGCCTCACGCCCCTCGCCCCACGCTCCTCACACACACACACGATCCACATACGCTCCTCCCACACACGTCCCACACGCAAACGCCCCACGCCTCACGCCTCACGCTCCCTCGCCCCACGCTCCTCACACACACGATCCACATACGCGCCTCCCACACACGTCCCACACACATACGCCCAATGCCTCACGCCTCACGCCCCTCGCCCCACGTCCTGCAGACATTTTTCCTTTTTGAAATGTTTTTGGCATTTTCTCATACTTCGGAGGGGAGCTTTGGACGGTCCCGATTCCAAGTTGTAAGCGGGCAGGAAGGTCGGGGAGGGAAGGGGGGTGACACGAAGTGAGCCATGCTTTCCCATTGATGAAGTGCGAAGATTCACAGGGCTGCAGTTGCACGGACCGCGTGCGTGCGCCCGCCTCGCCCGACCGGCCGCCGCCGCTGTCCGCAGGTTTCGCGTGTGCGTGCCTGACTCGCCCGACCACCTGCTGCCGCTGTCCGCAGGTTTCGCGTGTTTTGCCACTGGTTCTGCAACCACAGCTACTTCGGCAACGTCATCCTTGTCTGCATTCTGGTGTCGTCAGCCATGCTGGCGGCCGAGGACCCCATCGATCAGGGCACAGGTCGCAACCGGGTCAGTAGGCAGAGCTGAGCCCTCTGCAGTCGACGCAGCTGGCGTCGGCACAGCTGGCACAGACGAGACCTTTCTGGCAGAGCCGAGCCCTCTCTGACATAGCTGAGCCCTCTATGACAGAGCGGAGCTCTCGCTGGCAGAGTCGAGCCCTCTCTGCCAGAGCCGAGCCCTCTCTGGCAGAGCCGAGCCCTCTTTGAGAGGGCGGAAGCCCTCTCTGGCACAGCCGAGCCCTCTACAGTCGGCACAGCTGGTGTCGGCACAGCTGGCAGGGTCGAGTCCTCTCTGACACAGCCGAGCCCTCTCCAGTCGGCCCAGCTGGCGCCACAGTGGCCTTGGTGCCGGTGGGAAAGTAAAGGCAGACATGTGTGGGCATGATTTGGCGATATTATTATGAATGAAAATGCATTTACTGGCTTCGTGTCAGTGCCGTTGTTACTATTCGCGGTTTTCCAAATGTTTCGTACGTCATCTAATTGGTGTTGCTTCTTGACGTGCCTCGAATTTGTCAATGTTGGTAGATATTGTGGTGTTGGAATCACGGTGTGTATGCTGCGCGTTTTCCACACACACACACACACACACACACACACACACACACACACACACACACACACACCACACACACACACACACACACACACACACACCACACACACACACACCACACACACACACACACCACACCACACACACACACACACACACACACATATATATATATATATATATATATATATATATATATATATATATATATATATATGTGTGTGTGTGTGTGTGTTGTGTGTGTTGTGTGTGGTGTGTGTGTGTGTGTGTTGTGTGTTGTGGTGTTTGTGTGTGTGTGTGTGTTTGTGTGTGTGTGTGTGTGTGGAAAATGCGCAGCATACACACACACACACATATATATATATATATACATGCACACATCCAAATTCCTCAGCGTCAACTTAATGTCATTCGCCGTTGCAGATCCTCAACTACTTTGACTACTTCTTCACGACAGTGTTCACGTTGGAGATCGGGTTCAAAGTGATCGCATACGGGTTCATTATGCACCCGGGCTCGTTTTGCCGCTCCGCCTTCAACCTGCTGGATTTGCTGGTGGTGGCCGTCTCGCTCATCTCATTCTCCAACATGTGAGTGCGACCTCGCGCACCGAAGCTTTCCAGGAATACTTACTTTGCTTTCTTTAAGTGTCACTAATGATCAAAAGTGCGGTGAAATGTAGCGGTTGAGGGGATTGCTCTGCATTTTAATGGAATTTCGGACTGAAATGGTCATGTTGAGAATCATTCGGTGCAGTTCACAGGCCTGCCCTTCTTAAGGCCTAAAACTCTCTAGTTGCTGAGCTACACGCACGCGAAGATGTGCAGCCCATCTCGTGCAGACTATTTCAAGGTCATTCGGGCACACATAATGCCGTAAAAACATCATTCAAATCCTGCCACTTCATCGGCCATGCGACGTTCAAGGCCAGGAAGAATAAAATCGTCGAACCGCTTATATATGGTGTTCGCGAGCACAATTTCCAGATATAATGGACGTCGATTGGCTCCCAATCAACGTTGAGTAGGCTGTGCAAATTTTAACCACAATTGGTTGTTTGGTTATTTGGCTTAGAGTCCTTTCGACCAGAAATGATTCTTTTAGGGCTATGGGATGAAGGGAAAAGGATAACGATGGAAGAAATGCCCAAAACACAATCACATAGCCACATTTGGTTGAGCGAACACCTCGAGCACAGACAGGGCCACCTCTCTAGAGGTTTAGTACTACAAGGGAGTGCTGGGGTGACAATTTTGCGCGGCTAGTTTTGCAGCACCTTCACGCCAAAGAAACGTATCACGATGCACTAAAAAAGATCATTCAGAAACAGTTCTACTACATTAAGGGATGTCGTCGTATAGAACAGTCTTATGTACTTTAAGGAAATGTTTCACGTTTGAAGATATTGAAGCAAGCATCACATATGAGGAAACAAGCTCACTTGTGACTAATGGTATGCTATAAGCGGAAAGGGCTGCTCCAGACAGCATAGTTTTTTTGTTTAGGAAATGTGCTCCTCAATGCGGCAATGTTCGATCACGTTATCGTAACTTGCACAACACTGATTGAGAGCCAATGGAAGACAGTTTTATCTGGAAATCGTGCTCACGGACGCCAGATGTGAGCAACTTGACCATTATGTTTTTCTCGGTCTCGATCGCCGCATAGTAATAGCCGCATATAAATAGCATGATTTGAATAGCGTTATTATGACGTCATGAACACCAAGGTGACCTTGAGGTACTCTACGAAGTCCTCTCCCCATTTTCACGAGGATATAGCTCAGAAACTAGAGGGTCTAGGTCTTAAAAAGAGCAGGGCTGTGAGCAGCACAAAAAAAGTCTTCAAGGTGCCTATTTCAGTTCAAAACCTCATAGAAATGTGAAATACTCCCTTAATTCCTCGCCCTGATT